TTTTTTTAAATATATTAGGTTGATATGAATGCCCTTTTAAAATCTTTTAGAAAAAAAATAATTTATAGATACACAAAATTGATATGAGAACTCCTAACAATATATCTATATGTATATTTAAAAAAAAACCTTAATGTAAGTTGTTTAATTAGAGACCTGCTGCAGTTGACTAAAATGCAGTTTAGTAAAAAAATTACAGAAAATTTCAAAAAGAGTAGCCCAAGAGGGAAAAAAAATAAAATAAAACTGAAGCAGAAAGAGCCAAAGAGGGCAGAATCACTTTTCTGAGAAGCAAAATCTCTTCACCAAATTAATAAGCAGAGAAAGACAGATGCGTGTGTGTTTGGCTTCTTAAGGTGAGTGATCAAGTGCATATATGGTTATTCTCCCTTTTCCCACTTTCTCTCACAGTATAAAGACACTCAGCCAAAGTGGGAAGATTTCCATATCTTCAGATTTTGAGCCAAAATGAAGAAAGGAAGAATGTTGTGCTGTTTCCTCTTGTTGGCTCTGCAAATACCCAATTGGGTTTCTCCTCATCAATTGTTTTGACCTTCTTTCCTTGGAAAACCAATTCCCCCTTTCCCCTTCCAAAATGAGAAAGAATCCTTTGAATTTCTTTTTCAGTTTCTTCCATTGGCCCTTTCTCTTACACTAATCCAATCCAATCTGTCTTTTTTCATTTTATTAGTAATTTATTCTACTTTAATTTAACAGACCAAATCCCACAAATCCCACATGTTGTCCAGAACCCAGAATAAGTAATAAAAAAATTCCTCCTCTTCATTCTTTTTCTTATTTCTTAAATAAAGTGACCGCCTCTACATTCTATAATATTTTATGTTTTGTGAAGTGGGTAAGGCATTAATTAAAGAAAAATACAGGGTGCTAGCCAGGTTTGGATATAGACCACCAAACTGTGAGTGCAGAAGTGGGGTTGCGTTTATCGCCTTTTTTTATTTTTATTTTTATTTTTAAGATTATTAAAATTATATTAAAAATAAAAAAATTATTTTACAATTTAAATTATATCAAATTATA